GACCCCGCCAAAACCTCCCCCCCCCCCCCCCCGCCCCTGTATAAGCTATATCTGTGCTGAGAAGGTTTGCTAGCATAGCTAAATTAACTCAGACTTAACCTATTTTCCATGGTGGTTTGAGAGAAAATTGGAGCCATCTCAGCATGACTCAGCTACAAGGACAAAAAGAAATGTCCAGAATCCTAGCACTATTGCACAATTACAGAGAATGGATACAAAACTTCACAAGAGGATAGCTAGAACAGGGCTACTCAACTTTGGAAGCCCCAGGCTATGTCTAGACTGCAGACTTCTTTCAGAAGAAGCTTTTCCAGAAGAGATCTTCTGAAAAAACTTCTTCTGAAAGAGAGCGTCCACACTGCGAAAGTGTCAGTGTGGACACTATCTGGCATTTCAGCTGTGATTACTATGGACAGAATGGCCACCAGAGCACCTGTGCTTTTCTCTTTCCTCTTCATTCGAAAGAACTCCCTCTTCCCTGTCTACACACGCCTTTTTCCGAAAGAGCTCTTTCGGAAAAAGGCTTCTTCCTTGTAGAAAGAGGTTTACCAAAATCAGAAAACCCCTCTGTTCTTTTGGTTGTTTTTTTTTCCGAAAGAACATGATTGCGGTGTGATCGTAAGTGTTTTTTTCCTGAAAAACAGCCTTTTTTCAAAAAAACTCTGCAGAGTACCAGGGGCCACAATGATATTCACAGTACATTCCAAGGGCTGCAACTTAAGTGTGGATGCATATACATGCAAATATATATGCAAATAGCTTCTTTCACACAGATGGACATGAGTACAAAGTACTTCCCACAATGCCCTGGCGCTCCCAGCACCTCTAACTTTAATTCAGTTCTGCTGATATTAATAAAATACAGTATATACCTGATATGAAAGCACTTTTAATGAGCAATGACAGTCCAGGAATTTAACTACTAAAATGCATATCAACAGAAGACCATTATATTGATTACTTTTTTTATTTTGCCTCCTACCGATGGACAACATGTTGAGCCCTGTGTAAATCCAAACTGCACCATGGGCTGCAAACAAACAGGCTGCAGGCCACATGTGGCCCATGGGCTATGTGTTGAGCAACCCTGAGCTGGATTGTAAATTTTCTGTATTGACAATTTAAACAAACATACTACAAAAATCATGTATTGGCTTAAAATTAGGTGTACTGCATTAAGTAGAACTCAATTGTGCCAGATGAAATAATTTAGTAATCACTGTTTGTTTTTTGATGCTTAGGGTGAAAAGAAGATGAAAACAACGGTATTAACTGCTGCTCTTTTACTGTCAGGAATCCCTGCAGAAGTGATTAGTCGCTCCATGGATACCTATAGCAAAATGGGAGACATCTTCACAGATCTCTGTGTATATTTCTTTACTTTTATTTTCTGCCATGAACTGCTTGGTTTTTTTGGTTCTGAAGTTCTGTGATAGCTGTAGAACTCCATACAACAGAAAACTTTCTGTTATGTATTCCTATATCACTGCCTATGCCACACAAATTTATACCTTGTTAATTCTTACCTAATGAAATGCTTGAAAACAGTTAAATCCACTCATAAATGAATGGAAGAGCAGGGTCCCGGGTTTAGGGTTGTATTAGTACAGTTTATTCAATTTCTAATGTGGAGAATAGAGTCCAAGTGTTAGTGATTGATTTCTTTTGCTTATTTAGTTAAAAGATGCCCTTCTCACTGTACTCCTGGTGTCATTTTCTTGTTGACTCTCTGGTGTGAGAACACACCAGTACTGATGGGGACTCAAGTCCAATCACAATGTATAACTAGTTCTGTTATCTAAAGACTGCTCCGTGTGTGTGTCATCTGAGGGTTTTTTTAATCTCTACATGAAATGTACCCTTACATTCTGTTGTTCAAACTCTAAATGTTAAACAAAAATAGCTTTCTGCAGGAGAGTTTGGTGATGCACCACCTCGTTGTCTTCCTCTGTCGAAGTCTTCATCCCTTCTGCATAACTTCTTATAGTCATGACTTATTTCAAGTTAGGAAACAGTAATGAGACAAGTAAGCAAAAAAAAATCCTGTTGTCTTACTAATATCATTCTTCTAGAAGTAATATAAATTGTTAGTTTCACAATGTTTCCCTGACCATTTGGCAGCTCTTGAATCTATCTTGTTATCCTAACCCTAGTTTTACCCATGCTTTCATCTCAACCCTTGATTACAAGTTCACTTTATACAGTGAAAGCTGCACCCAAGAAGCCCATGCCTCAAACAGTGCTCCGAATGTATCATACATGTCTGTGCTCTTTTGGTGAATCATGAATTAACCCTGGGCTATGTATGTTTGTTTTCTGTTTTCTTACATAAACTTTGACTATGTATGTATTTTTCTGTATTTCTATCCTTTTGTTTGTTATTGAAGACATTTGCCTATAAACAGAATAACAGCATACCAGAACCTTTGGATGTTGACTGACTTGCTTGTTCCTTTGTTCTACACTGTTTTGAAGGCCCTCCAAATAAATCACAATAGCTGTACTTATTGAGATTTTAAGTTCTGAAACAGACAATGGAAAAAATGCTCTTCTCTCCATGTTTTGAGTTTGTTTCCACATAAAGATGAGTGTGTGAGGGGGGGAACTGATACCTATTATGGAGCAGGTGTAAAACCAGACAGGAGGGATTTAGGAGGCTGCCAGGCAGATACATTTTATTCTCTCTTTAGAGGGAAGTAGCTAGCTGTAGTTTTACTTTCAATCCCACAAAAAAGTGACATATTGAGAGGAAGGAATGGATTATCTGAAGTGTATTACGAGCTAGTCTCCCCTTCGTACTGGCCATCTTCAATGATTTCTGCTGCATTTGAACCTACTGCATTTCACCATGTAGCTTATCTGCTTACTATTCAAGGTGTAAGATGAAATCCAACAATACTGGTTTTTCAGTTTGGAAGGATCAGTAGTTTTATTGGTGCTTGTCTACAGTAATTTTTTAGTTAGGAAGCAAAACTATTTGGCTATATGCCTGTGAAGTAAACAAGACTTTTTTTCTGCCCAGTTTTTCTCAGCTAAAATTATTTGCTTTATAATTTTAATTCTGCATTTCTGAGCCAATTGTTATATATGTCTGTGGCACAACAAAGAATCTTGTGTTCTGATTTTACACTATATTCAGTTCTTTTGGATTACCATCATTTTTGTTGGACAGCCAGTTGTAGACATTTATAGTTAGACTGTAAACTATTGCGATTTAGATTTGAGAGTACAAATGCAGTTTGCAATGCTAGCTTAGCCATGCTGGTCCCAAGATATTAGACACAAAGTGGGTGAGAGAATATCTTTTATTGGACCAACTTTTTTGGTGGAAGAGGCTTTGGGTAGCTTGAAAGCTTGTCTCTTTCACCAACAAAATTTGGTCCAATAAAAGAGATTACCTTGTCTCGGCACAAATGTAGACATGTTAAAAGTTTCAATCAGAATACTAGAAAAGCATATTGATATACAGATTATTATTCTTTATTCATTCTACTTCTTTTGCATTCCTATCACTTGGAAATGATTTAAGACGGATTTTTTTTCCACAGGTCGCAGAAGGAATATTGCTCTGGGCTGGTCTATAGTACTGCAAGGGATGAATCTAAGTTGCACAATTTTAGCTACGTTAATAGTGTAGCTGAAGTAGACATACTTATATCTACTTATTGCAGTGTCTTCACTGTGCTGTGTCTACTGGAGACACTCTCCTGTCACCTCTCCTTTCACTTCTCATTGAAGTGGAATGCCAGAGTCAACAGGAGAGTGATTGGTGGTCATTTTATCGTGTCTGTACTAGATACAGTAAATCAACCCCTGCTGTGTTCTTCACAACCCCATTGAACCAGCCTGTAGTGAAGACATGGCTTCTGACTCTTAATATGGAAATGTTGACTCAGAAGAGAAGACTTTTGTCCGAACAGAATTGTGTACATGAACACAGAAAATGACATCATGGAAACTGAATTCATCCTTGGCCAATGAATGAAAGAACTTCATCTTATAAACGTTTGCCCTATCAGTTCTACATTTCACTTGGCAGCATTATGGGTATGTCTAGACTGCATCCCTCTGTCGGCAGAGGGATGCAGATTAAGCAGGTCGACATTGCAAATGAAGCAGGGATTTAAATATCCCGTGCCTAATTTGCATAAAAATGGCCACCACGTTTTGCTGACAAAGTGCTGTCAGCAAAACGTGGTGGCCATTTTTATGCAAATTAGGCACGGGATATTTAAATCCCTGCTTCATTTGCAATGTCGACCTGCTTAATCTGCATCCCTCTGCCGACAGAGGGATGCAGTCTAGACATACCCATAATGCTGCCAAGTGAAATGTAGAACTGATAGGGCAAACGTTTATAAGATGAAGTTCTTTCATTCATTGGCCAAGGATGAATTCAGTTTCCATGATGTCATTTTCTGTGTTCATGTACACAATTCTGTTTAATGTTTCCGTATTTCTACACTGGTTGTTTTCTGTTAAGTGCATTAAAGTTATGCTTGTTACCGCCTTCTCTTATGGCTTGACTGTGCTTGGGAAGACACCCTTTTTATTAATCTCATGATTTGTTAATATTCTAAACAAGTTCCCAGTTCTATAAGGAAAATCAAAAAGAGCTAAATTTCACAGTCCTACATTAGTAAACTGTTTAATTTGAGCACAAGAGCCAAAAATTCTTTAGCTGTAATCCCAGCTCAGATACTAACTCCCTCTGTTGCTTTCATTGAGTATTTTAATGACCTTGCCTCCGTTTTCCCATCTGTGGAATGGGGGGAGAAAGAGAACCCAACTCTGCAAACTGTGTTTGTGCAGGTATCCCAATTACATTAATAAGCCCACAGCAGATATCAACTACTTGCCTGAGTAATGGTTTGTAGGGGGAAACTTATGGTTACTTATAGGATATTGTATAGATTAATATATTTATAAACTCTGTAAAGATTGCAAACTCTGTAGATTCTAAGTATTGTTTGGGGCTAATTGTACATAAATGTACATATGTGTTAGATTACAGTACATGAGGTTAGTACACAGATTACAGAGTAAACAAAATTGGTGTTCATTACATGTATATGAATTTATTTAAAAAGTAATCTGAATTGATTGCATGAGCAAAGCCTAAATTTGAATGCGACTGAATAATCTCAATGTATAAATGTTTGCGTACTTAGAGGTGAATCTACCTAATTCCAATACTTTTTTTCAAAACTTTATGCATTTATAAACACTTCTTTGTTAATTGATATCTTAGACCTGTTGCATGTGAAGGGTTTTTATGTTTGTACCAGGTGTATCACATGCAGCTGTAAGTGGCTGGCTGTGTTAGTTTAGATTCATATTTTGCTCTGTAAAACAGATTTATCTTCAGTAGTAATTTAAAATTACTTTTAATACATAAATAAAAATTCTAATCTGTATCTCTACAGCCTTACTGTGAATGCACAGGACTGATCAAGTGCCTTGCTTTAGTTCTCATAATATAATTATTACTATAGTAAAACTTTGGTTATTATAACTTTTACCTGTAAAAAGTAGCACTAGCAGAGGGAAAAAATTGGCAATTTTCAAGTGCAGTTTTCATTGGGCTAACTAATTTTGAGTTAATTTTAGTTCCTATAGTGTTCAAAATATAATTTTTTATTTACATGCACAAAATAACAGGTATTTTAATCTGGGCTAGTAATGGGTGTGATACAATTTCAGTCCTTTATCTAGAGCAAATGTTTTTTGGTTTCAGACCATAGCAAAGAAATAGAGAGGGAAGTCATAATTGGGTCCCTTTAGTCTGTTCAAGGGAAAATGCTCTATAATTATTCTCTAGCATGTTGAGAGATGCTTTACCCTTTAGCTTTAAATATTCTGAAAAAATTGGCTACTTTTACCTTTGACTCTTTGGGGTGATATTTGTGCAGTCTAAGAATACAGAATTCAGATTACTTGTAATTGTATTGCATTTTTCCAAGTGAGACTATTCTAAATGATAGCTCTTCTGGGAGTTTACACTTTTTCATTTATTTTTAGGTAAGTACAGCTTCCTTTCCCACACTACACTCTAATAACTTTATCAACACTATACCTTTTAACTCAATATTCCCTTAATTGTAGGGTTGACTAAAGCTATATCCATATTTGAATAGTCCAATATCCATGTTTGGATAGCTCTCTGGCCATGCTGTTGGGGTTGCGTAGGGTTGGCATTTTTCTCCACGGGCGAGAATAAACCGTGGTAGAACAGGCTTTCGTAAAAGGTAATAGAGATGTAGCCGCGGAGGCCGCTAGCACAGGTCATAGTAGGAGAGGGGAACACCACCTGTGCTAGGCTCGAGTGCTCTTGGACGTTAAGCCCTCGGGACTTATAAGGGGATAATTATTGTGGGATGAGGAATGAAGATGAGGACGCTCCTCTCTCATTCCACCCCTGGCAGCGCAGAGCCGGAGCAGACACTCCCATTTCCCCGCTCGCTGGAAAGGGGGCGAGTCACCAGCGGCGTTTGCGCTATGGCTGCCGATGAGAAACGTGACCGGTGCAGCCCACACCCGAGCCCGCTTGGAGCTGCTGCTCCGAATCCCAGCTGCCTCCGCGAAGGACTTTGGCCGGGGCCGCGGGCTCGTCGGAGGTCCGAGCGCCGTGGCAGCGAGCGATACTGCTGCTGCTGCTGCAGCTCGGTGCGAGAAGGAGCTTTGCCGGTGCAGGAGCGCTCCGCGTACCCTCACTGGCGCGGGGCTTAAGAGGGCCCTGCCCGCCTCCAGCCGCCAGGGGGCGCTGTAGCCCTCGGCCGGCCCCTGTCGGCTCCGCTCTGCAGCGCTCCTCGCCTTGGTCACCGCGCTACGGGCCCGTAATGGCGGCAGCTGCGTAGCGGTTCCTGGGTCTCGCTCAATCCCACAGGCCGCCGCTGCTCCGCGCGCTTGGGGCAGCCATGGGCCGAGAGTCCAGGTGAGGCGGCGGGAGCGGCCCTGCCGCTGTCAGAGCTGGGGGTGGGGAGGAGGAGGAGGAGGAGCCGCGTTGAGGGGAGGCTCGCCTGGGCGCAAGGCCCGAAGGCGCGGGCGAGCGGGCTCCCTCCGGATGGTGCGTGAGGGAGGGCCGCGCGGCAGGGCAGAGCCGGCCGTTGCCGAGGCTGTGGGGGGAGCGACGGAGACCTCCCCACACCCCTGCCCGTTTCCCAGCGGGGCGGCCTCGCACGGCTGTTCCGCCTGCGGCCCGGCCGAGGCCCGAGTGGCGAGCTCGCCCTGCTGCTGTGTCGATTGTTCGGCGCCCCAGCTCGGCCCAGGCCCCTGTTTCTAATGCTTCCCGCTCCCGGCTCAGATGCTCCTCAGACTCCGGCTATATATTTATAAACATATTCCTCCCCTTCCCCCCCCAACAAGCAAGCTACGGGGCTGCCTTGGTTTCTAGCCCTACGGGCGGGAGGAGGGGTACAAAGTGCTGGCTCGTGCACCCAAACGATGGGTAACACTGTTGGGATTCAAACCCATCAACGTCTCTGAATGGCTTGTGCTGATTTTTAACATCCTTGAAGTGCATCATCTCTGTAAATGCAGAGACCCTAATGGAGACACGGCACTGCTGTTTTTGTTTTGCTGTAGCTCAGGGCTATTCAACTGTGGAAGCCCCTGGGGGCCACAATGATACTCTCAGCACATGCTGAGGGCCGTACCTGAAGAGTGGTGGCATATATATGCAAATATCTTCTTTCACACTGATGGGCATGAACAGGGCTTGCCAAGTGGCGGTGAACCCCGCTCGCCAGCTGTGCAGTTCTGCACATGTGCAGATTGCTCTGCGCCGGCTCTTCCGGGATGTAATCTGCTCGCCACTGGCATGACACTGGACCCAAACATGGCCAGTGTAAGCCAGTCAGCACCTCTCAGGCTCTCCTCACAAGGCTAAGCAGCCAGCACTTCCCACAATACTTCTGCGTTCCTGGCATCTCCTTCCTGGGGACTAGAAATGCCAACACCCTGTACCTATCTGTTCCAGCCAACCCGTCCACTTGCGTCTTTCAGTGTTCACCCTGCCTGGGAGACATGTCGCCGTTGTGGAGCATGTTCCCAGTGGGGGGTGTAGCTGGTGAAGGTTAGTCCAAATGGCAGAGGTTGGAAGGAATATAGATCTGACATTTTGACTTGCTATACTATCAAGACAAAAACTACCTGTGGTACCTCTACTAGGATTTTATAGAAGTAGCTCTTATGTTGTCATGAGCGCACCTTCCTCCCTCCCCCCCGTCTTTTTCTTCAGTGAAGACAAACCCACACTCTGGAATCCAGCAGGGGTGTACGAGTGGAACTGTTTGAATGGTTAACCGATAAGCATTACCCGGGCTCCTTGTGGCGCTGCCACTTTGAAGTACCCTCTCCCCCCCCATCAGATAGAGGCAGCAAGCAGGAGGATTGACTAGTGGACTGGACTAGTCCTTAACATCCTTACTCCCATGTACCATCTCCCAGCCCTGCTCCCAGGGAGTCAGATGCTGCTCCACACTGCAAGCGCTGATACAGAGCCAGCAGCAAGGGGTGGCAGCTGGCTCCCTGGGAGCGGGCTGGGAGCCATTGTGAAACATTTACAGTAACTGAGGGTTAACCATTTAAATGGTTATACTGTTATATCCCTATTTTATGAGGGGAGCACTTGCTCCAGCTAAGATCCAGGCTCCGTTGCAAATTACACAAATGTCTGCCGAGATAGTCTCTTTCCCAGAGACTTTACAGTCTAAGACAGAACTGAGAAGAGGTTGGAAGGGAATAGAGAGGGACAAAGAGGTGAAGAAGTTACTTGCTCAAGGTGACACAGCAGACACAGTGTATCTACAGAGTACCCTTAGCTCAAAATAAGCTACGCAATTTGTGCTACGCAAATTGCGTAGCTTATTTTGATGCTATTTCAAAATAGCGTATTTTGTAATTTGGTGCTGTCTACACAGTGCCAAATTTCAAAATAACTCGCTATTTCAAAATTCCCCTTAACCATTGGGATGCCAGAATAAGCCGCCCATTATTTCGAAATCTATTTCGAAATAACAGGCTCCTTCAATAGATGCAGAGTAGCTATTTAGAGAGACTTCTGGTATCCCTAAATAGCTCCACAGTGTAGATGTACCCTAACATAGCTGTGAATAAAATTTAAGTCTCCTGATTCTCAATCTAGTGCCCTTTCCATTACGCCACACAGGCTCACATTTGTACACAATCCTTTGACTGGCGTTTGATAGTATCTCTGTGGAACTGAGCTATAAACTGAGGCAGACTGTCTGAGACTTTTTTAAATGCAGTTTTAATCTTTTTCCTGCACATAAAATTGATGTTGCTCAATAGTAAACCCCTCCTGAGATTATGATGCTATCACAAAAAGCTTGACTTTTGTAGTGAAGCCTCATTAGGATTATTTCAATGATATATAGCAAATAATCCAGCTATCTTCAATATCTCAATAGGGGACATGTGTGTGTGTACTAATTCCGTTATGCAAGACCAGGGAAGACTTCTGTAATCTTAAAACAAAAACAAAAAAACCTCCTTGCCCTTCCTTTTTATGGTTTTTGTTCTAAATGTGATTTCAGTACCTATAATCTGCAAAGTGTTCTCCTTTACATCTTTACTTTTTTATTGTAAATGTGCAATTACATAGGCATTATCGGAAGCGCTCCACATCACGTGGACGATCTGGTAGCCGTTCTAGAAGTCGATCTCCATCTGACAAAAGAGCAAAACGTGGAGAAGACAGACGATCTAGAAGTAGAGATCGAGAACGCAGGCGTGAGAGGTCACGCAGCAGGGAGAAGAGGAGATCTCGGTCACGGGACAGAAAGCGCTTGAGGTATGAGTTTCAAAGTCTCAGGAAATGTATGTGTTCTTGAAAAATGAGACTTGACTTAGTCAAAGTATCAAATTCTCTGGAATGTCTTATGAATATCTTTTGTTCCTTTCTGTATGACTGGTGATGGTATCTGCCTTTTGTAATTGGTTTTACTTAGGTAAAGTAGTACGTAGCATAATTGGATTTGGTAACCCTGTCTTAGCCTTAATGGCTCTTGGCTTCCTTTTGCAGATTTTTGCTGAAGATTCTGTTTTCCCCCATGTAAATAGACTAATTTATGTTAATGTTCCCTCCCAAGCAAAACTTCTAATTTTTTATATATATTATATTTTAAAATAATGGGCATGAGTTCAGAATACTAAATACGCCAATTTTGTGGCAGACGTTCAAGAAGCAGAGAGAGGGAACGGAGCAGAGAGAGGAGGAGGTCACGCAGTCGAGAGAGAAGGAGGTCCAGAAGCAGAAGTAGACGGTCACGCTCCTCCAGTCCTGCCAAGAATAAGAAAACAGAAAACAGGTACTCTCATTCACTGCTGAAATTAATATGCTAGGAATTGGACATGAAAAGATTTATAGTCTGTTTCTCTATAGGGGACGGGATGTAGTTGCCAGTTTTAATATCTGATACATCTACTGGTTTTCCACTATTTCTGTAAATCTTTTCATAAGTTAAAATATTTCTCGCAGTGTTCCTTGGCATAATGGGCCTTTTTCCCAGGAGAACAATAACATTGGTTTTCTCACCCAAGTAGCTGACTGCAACTCCTTTTTATGCTACATCTCGTCATCATCACTTTGTGGTCATGTCCACAGAATGCCTTATCAGCATTTTAGGCTATTTATGCCTGTTCCTGGATTGTCATTTGCCAGATGATTAACTCACCATTGCAGAATCTTGCTCAAAATCAAAATGCCTACATTGGGAGCTAGATCATATACATTAAGAAACCAAACAGAAAAACTTCCAGGTTTTCTTTATCCTGCAGAAAGAAGCGAAATAAACATCCCCTGTCTAGGGGTTTGTTTTGTTTTGTTTTGTTTTTTGTCCTCTATACCGCTAGAAGACTAAAATAGGCTTTCTGGAAAGTCTGTCTAGATTTTGTTTAAAAAGCTTGTGTATCTGTCCTTATATGTTAATCTTAATTTGTTTCAACTGAGATCATTGTAACCTAACTTGCCGTTGGGTATGTAGGTTTTTTTTTTATATTTTCTATTATAATATTTAAAAAATACAAAATTCTTCATATCCCATAAGTGGTTTTGACCTGGAAGACATGAAGCAATTTCAAGGAAGAGTAACCATACTAAATGTTGTTTGAAGTGCCTTTGTTCTTGTTTCTGCATGCATACATTCAGTAGCAAACTAGGCATACTGAATGGATTAGTATGTTTTGCTGTTTCATTTAGCTGAGCTACTTTGCAAAGGTGTGTTGTTTTTAAAACTACTCGTATGTATTTAAATATTGTGCTTGATATTAAGGCCTGGGGGCAGTAAGTCAGGAAAGCATGCACAGGTTTGGTTTGTTTAAGGAAAATATTCAGAGTGCACATGCACAGCCTTAACCTTATGGTTGTTTTCATAGCTACATAAATGTATTATAAAACTTTTAAGCAAAGTATCCTATATTTTATTTATTATTTGTATTGGCATAGCACTTAGGAGCTCTAGTCATGGACCAGGACCCCATTGTGCTAGATGCTGTACAAGCACAGAACAAAGACAATTCTTGTCGCAAATAGCTGACAAAAGGCATCAAAGGCATTTGTCGACCACCCAGTTAAACCTCATCCCAGGAGGCATACCTGGGTGGTCGACAAATGCCTTTGATGTCGACCCCCGCGCGTCCAGACTACCACGCTGAGCCAACAAACAGCTGATCAGCTGTTTGTCGGCTCAGCGCGGCAGCCACGTAAATTTAAATGAAGCGGTGATTATTTAAATCGCTGCTTCATTTTCCTATGCCTGGTAGCCTAATCTACATGCCTCTGGCGACAGGCATGTAGTCTAGACGTACCCTAAGTGCAAGACAAGAGAACAGATGTATACTAGCAGATAGAAGAGTATAAGGAAACTATAAAATATTTTAAGTTCTATAAATGCTGTTTTACGTATTAGGAACTCTCATGCTTTTCGCTGGAGGAATATTTCTATTTCAGTGACTCAAGAAAATACCTGAATATACCTAAAGTTAAGGTTATATGACACCTTAAAAAAAGTTTAGATTGACTCTTTATCAAAGTATCTTTCCAGTAAATCATAGTTACATCTGGGTCAGCAAGTGATGTTTTGTGTCACATCTCTGCAGAAAGAATGCATTAAAGGTGATCTCTAGCACAGCTGACACTCATGAAGGGTTTTGAAAATGTAATTTTTGTTGAAAGTACTGTGGTTAAATCACATAATACCCCTTAGAAAATTGAGTGGGCATTCATTATTCTTATTACAAGAGTTATTTAAATAATTTTAATATATGAATGTCCTCCAATGCCAGTGTATGCGGTAGACTTTCTAGCTTTCAAGTACCACCTTCATCTGGGAAGTGGTGATCTTCAGGGCTGTGGGTTGTTAAACTATTCAAACCTCCTGTTTATTATTATCATATTACAATTAGTAATATGACTAATTAGTAGTTATAAAGTGCTTTAAAGTAGTCAGACTAATTAGCTTGAATAGTCTGTTGAGATCAGACATGCAGTACATAGGTTTTTGACCTTATCTTTCAGCTCAAAGTCTAAAGAAAAGACAGAAGGTGTGGAAGTTTCCAAAGAAAAGAAAAAAGAGAAAGAAGACAAAGAAGAAGAAAAGGACAAAGATGTTAGTGTATGTATTCTGACCACTGAAAGAAACTTGTATCCGTTTAAACATTAGCTCTTACAAATGATACATTTATTTTAAAACTTTAGGTATAGTTTACTGTGTGTCTAAAATGTCACCCTAGATAATCCATTTTAGGTCATATAACACAGACTTCCATTACAATGGGTATGCTTCTACCACTTAACAGAAGAAACATTCTTCCCTTAATGCAAGGCTTCTCAGTCTGTAGAATGCAAACCTCAAGCAGATTATGAAGGATCACTTGTGTCGCATCCCACTGACTGCTGGATGTTGGGGACTAGATGAGTTTAGAAACATGTAAAATCTTATTTCAGGTCAAGTGCTTCCTAAATACATTTTTATGTACAAAACATCCTTTGATCACTAAAGCCTAGCAGGAGTCAGGGGAAGAAAGGGAAGGAGCAGTTTGCTTCCTGTGTTTATTTCCTCCAGTTCTAGAGCAGGTCTCCAACACAAACAATAGTTGGCTCCAAAGCAGGGGAAGAACTGCTTTAAGAGCAACCCTCCAGTCTGGCAGGAGTCAGCAACAGACCACCAAACCAACATCCTCACCAAATCTAGTCATCAACACATGCACCCTCAACCAGCACTCTGGCCTAGGACTCATCCACCATAATTCCCACATAGCTTATTTCTCTGATATACATAATGTGGTGAAATAGTGAGTTGCATGGTGGCTTTTCAGGTGGAGAACCACTGCTGTTGTATATATTGCATATTAGGATGGGAAAATCTGGTGCGTTTAGGAGTATTTGTTTAGAAATGTAGATCCCTAGAACGAAGTTGCAAAGTGGATAACTACATTTCATATTATTTTACCATCACTTTGCTCATGCAAGTATTGTAATTGTTGTCACTATAAATTGAAACTGAGATATATTAAGTTAAACTTTTATTGCAGTGTATTTTATATTGGACAGTCCTGAGCCAAAACTCCCATATATTTGAAGGAGGAGTTGATGTAAAGAAGAAGTGCAGAGTCAGGCCAATAATTCATAACTTTTTAATTTGGTTCTAATAGAACTTTGATCAGAACAAACTAGAGGAGGAAATGAGAAAACGAAAAGAGAGAGTGGAGAAATGGAGGGAAGAACAGCGCAAGAAGGCTATGGAAAACATAGGAGAACTGAAAAAAGAAATTGAAGAGATGAAACAAGGAAAAAAATGGAGCTTAGAAGATGATGATGGTATTTTCTTAATATTTGTATATAACAATTAACAGATAATTGCTTCATTTTGTAGTAATAAACACAGCTTTAATTACCACATCTGATTTTAAAACTTCAGTTATTTTTTTCAGGGCGCTGTAAAGTTATTAAATCTAGACTTGTTCATGATCCTAAATAGCTTAAAACACAAGAGAGCGCAACTGGTAAAGGAGAGGAATGAGAGGACAAACGATACAGTAATAATGGTGTGCAATTACTCAAGTCAGTTATGGAGACATAATGGTAGTTTTTTCTTCTCTCTCTTACTTCATTCCCAATTAAACAACAATTCTCATGTAGGCCTTTGATGTTTTTGTGGACCTAATGCTGTTCTGGGAACTTGTAGCTGCTATTTTTACCCACTAAAATCCTAGCTAAATTGCCCATTTACCAATGACCTATTTCAGAACAGCGAATTCCAGCCTTTCATCTTGTGGTGTTCTCATATCCCTTATCGAGAATCTCCATCCTTGCATCTCTCCAAGAATGGAGGATTCTTCTAAAATGACTGCTCTTGGTGTTAGAGGAACTTCTGCAGGCTGTCGGAGCACTTTGGTTACTCTGGCAGCTCCAAATTTAATCTGTCTTTTTTTCCCCTTGGAGGCAGAATTTTCTCTGGGGAGGAGAGTGCCCATGTGGTGTCAGTGGGTAATGGTGTCCTTTGATTCCAGGGTTTCTCTGACCTGGTGAATAAACCCTTTGACAACATATGGAGAGCCCTATCCTCTCTGTCCCAGATACTTTTCTCCTCCCTGGTTGACTCCACCCCTGGGGATGTGCTCCTATTCTCATTATATTCTTTGTCTGTGTTCTATAAGTTTATAGTACTGTGTTCCTGCATTCGTGTGTGCTTTGTAAACATTTTTCAGAGTTCTATACTGAAAGCAGGAAAAAAAACCCAAGGATTTTGAAATTCATAAACATTTCTCTTTTAAACAAAAATATTTCTCTGTGTACTAGATGACGAAGAGGAGACTGCAGAAGGGGAAAAGGAAGAGGAGGAGATTGAAGATGAAGAATTAGATCCACTGGATGCTTATATGGAAGAAGTTAAAGAAGAGGTCAAGAAGTTTAATATGAGAAGTGTGAAAGGTGGAGGTGGGAGTGAAAAGGTGAAAAATTAAGGTTGTCTTCTTTTTAGTAGTTTAGCTTTTAATATAGGAAAAATTATATCGAAGAACACTTTTTGAGAGGGAAAGTATGCAAATAGATGAAGACAGCTTAGACTACATGTAATGCATACCTGCCCATAACCTTTAATCTCCACAAATGAATCACGGATGTTGCTGAACTAGAGAGCCTCAGCACAGAGGTTGGGAGCAGAGCTGGCTGTTGGAGCCAGCATAGCAGCGGAGCTCATGGAACACC